AGTAATGTTTAGTTTGGTGAGTGATGAGTAGTAATGTTTAGTTTGGTGAGTGATTGGTAGTAATGTTTTGATTGGTGAGTGGTGAGTAGTAATATTTTGATTGGTGAGTGATGAGTAGTTATGTTTTAATTGGTGAGTAGTAATGTTTAGATTGGTGAGTGATTGGTAGTAATGTTTTGATTGTTGAGTAGTAATGTTTAGTTTGGTGAGTGATGAGTAGTAATGTTTTGATTGTTGAGTAGTAATGTTTAGTTTGGTGAGTGATGAGTAGTAATGTTTTGATTGATGAGTGGTGAGTAATGATGTTTTGATTGATGAGTAGTAATGTTTAGTTTGGTGAATGATTAGTAGTTATGTTTTGATTGGTGAATAGTAATGTTTTGATTGGTGAGTGATGAATAGTAATGTTTTGATTGGTGAGTGATGAGTAGTTATGTTTTAATTGGTGAGTAGTAATGTTTAGATTGGTGAGTGATTGGTAGTAATGTTTTGATTGTTGAGTAGTAATGTTTAGTTTGGTGAGTGATGAGTAGTAATGTTTTGATTGTTGAGTAGTAATGTTTAGTTTGGTGAGTGATGAGTAGTAATGTTTTGATTGATGAGTGGTGAGTAATGATGTTTTGATTGATGAGTGATGAGTAGTAATGTTTAGTTTGGTGAATGATTAGTAGTTATGTTTTGATTGGTGAATAGTAATGTTTTGATTGGTGATTGATGAGTAGTAATGTTTTGATTGTTGAGTAGTAATGTTTAGTTTGGTGAGTGATGAGTAGTAATGTTTTGATTGATGGGTGATGAGTAGTGATGTTTTGATTGATGAGTGATGAGTAGTAATGTTTAGTTTGGTGAATGATTAGTAGTTATGTTTTGATTGGTGAGTAGTAATGTTTTGATTGGTAAGAGATTGGTAGTAATGTTTTGATTGATGAGTGATGAGTAGTAATGTTTGGATTGGTGAGTGATGAGTAGTAATGTTTTGATTGATGACTAGTAATGTTTAGTTTGGTGAGTGATGAGTAGTAATGTTTTGATTGTTGAGTAGTAATGTTTAGTTTGATGAGTGATGAGTAGTAATGTTTTGATTGATGAGTGATGAGTAGTGATGTTTTGATTGATGAGTGATGAGTAGTAATGTTTAGTTTGGTGAATGATTAGTAGTTATGTTTTGATTGGTGAGTAGTAATGTTTTGATTGGTAAGAGATTGGTAGTAATGTTTTGATTGATGAGTGATGAGTAGTAATGTTTTGATTGGTGAGTGATGAGTAGTAATGTTTTGATTGATGAGTAGTAATGTTTAGTTTGGTGAGTGATGAGTAGTAATGTTTTGATTGGTGAGTGATGAGTAGTAATGTTTTGATTGATGAGTGATGAGTAGTAATGTTTAGTTTGGTGAATGATTAGTAGTTATGTTTTGATTGGTGAATAGTAATGTTTTGATTGGTAAGAGATTGGTAGTAATGTTTTGATTGATGAGTGATGAGCAGTAATGTTTTGATCGGTGAGTAATTAATAGTAATGTTTTGCTCATAATCTAATATGTGCATCTGTTTACCTAAAATGTAAATGTTTTATCTAAAATTGCAGTCAAATGCTCAAAGATTTTCGATGAACATTTCAACCAAGGAGCAATTAATATTTTTTTTGAATAATTAAAATGTATCTAATCTTTGTGTGTTCAGTATTGGAAGGAGCTACAAATCAGTTACAGGGGTTGTCATGGAAACAAGATGGCTCCCTCTTAGCAACGACCTGTAAAGATAAGAAAATTAGAATATTTGATCCAAGAGCCAAAACAGTAATTGCAGTGAGTATGGGAACTACATGGTTCGTTGCTATAGTTCAATAATCACCAAATAGTACGTAATTCATCAATGAATGCGTTCACATTATTTGCTTCTTTTATTTCAGGAAGCAAGTAGTCATGGCAACATGAAAGATTCCAGAGTTTGCTGGATGGGCAATAAAGATATGGTGATGTCGACCGGGTTTAGCACGGTATGTGAAACCAATAAAACTTTACTGAGACAAGAAATGCAAATCATAAACAAAGCATATATTTTATAGATGTAACATTGCAACTTATTTTTATCGCGATGTGTATTATCTAGATGCGTGAGAGACAGTATTATCTGTGGGATATACGAAATATAGGTCAAAGGTTATCATCACAATCACTTGACTCATCTACAGGGTAAGTAATAATATTAATTGTTTTACTGATATAGATAATATGTAGTACAGAGAAGACACTCGGTATCATTTTCTTTATGTGTTAGTTGATATGATGGCTGTAATGCCTTCATGTGGCCCATAATTATTTCTTTTTTTTTATAAATCTGTACTGTCACTATATATATATTAACAAGATGCAAATTACAACTTTTTATGATTTATGGACAAAAAAAAAGCTTCACAACTATGGCCGAGAACTCTGGAATGCATTTTAGGGTCAAAAATACAAAAATGGGATAACTGTGGAAGACTGTTCAAAGATGGCCAGTTGACGCTTGCCTGTCAAGAAATTGAAGTGCCAGTCTGTGATCGATGACCAACACTCTCCAAATACTCACACAAACATCATGGCCACAAGTGTATGCATAGACAACCTCTCATTGGTAGTCCTGAAGCTATGTATAACCTAGTATCTTTAGTGTACCTTTGATGCTGTCTTGCCATGCCATCATAAAATGTTCCAAAGAATAACGTAAAATGCAGGTGTGCAAAATTTCAGATTCAACGCGATTTCAATTGAGATGAATTTAATTCCAATTTTGACGATTAAGTTTATTTCATGGTAACAGAGGTTTTGCCATTCACACATTCCCATGATATTTTGTTTTATTGAAAAAACAACATAAATAAACAAGTGACTGTATGCCAGTCTAGTGAAAATCAGTGATTTCTGTTTTTATTCTAGTACACTGATGCCTTTCTATGATCCTGATACAAACATGATATTCCTGGCAGGAAAGGTGAGATTTATTCTGATAATTGCATCTATATTTGTTTTTAGCTCAGCTGTCATTGTAGATGACAGAGTGCAGCAGTTCATATAGGTGATTGTCAGCAATTGCATTTTCAACTTCTTTTTAAAAACTACCAGCTCAGTTGCTTCGACACATGTACTTGGTATGTCAGATTTGTTCATTTTGTGACAATATCTTTAATTATCTATTTTTGACAAATATTTTTGTCATTTTTGGTAAAAAATGCTGTTTTTGACTTTTTCTTGAAAACTACCAGCTCAATTGCTTTGATACTTGTTACCTTGGATGGACCGCTGTCAGATTTGTCTATTTCTTGGCTATATTTTCTCTATTTTTAGCAAATATTTTTGGTAATTGGGAAAAAATTATATTTTTGACTTCTTCTTGAAAACTACCTTCTCAATTCTTTAGATACTTGGTATGCACTGGTAGATACCTTGGGTGGACCACTGTTGTATTTGTTCATTTCATGATGATACCTTCAATTCTCTATTTTTGGTGAATATTTTTGTCATTTTTGTAAAAATGCTATTTTGACTTCCTCTTGATCACTACCAACACAATTGCTTTGATATTTGAGGTGTACATTATTTTGTGAACAGTTTGTTCGTGACTTGGCTATCACAATGTTCTTGTAGGACAGCGTAGCTATTGACCGCCAGGTCGCTTGTTTATAAAATTATTTGGTTAAAATTATGTACAATATTTTCGATCCATAGCAGCTGTGATGATTGTGGATTGATTAGTTGAGTCATGAAATTTAAATTTGAAAAACTCATTGTGAAAAATATACACTAGAGGACCATTCTCATCACCCAATAAATGGATATAAAAACAAAGTTATTGAAGGAAATGAACTCTGAGGGCATATTGATGAAATATATTTTTTATATTACAGGGCGATACAACAATAAAGCTCCTGGAATTAACTGAGAAAAGCCCTTATTTGACAGAAGGTAGGAATTTTTTTATGTAATTTCTCAATATTTCGTTACAGAACTGTAATATAAGAGAAGAAAATGTTGATCTTACTTATGTCATTTCGCAACACTTTATATATGGATGTCTGTGACTATTCTCCATCATTGACTTCTTTCTTTAACGTCAATTTACAATCCATTCTTTTTTTCTCTTTCCTCTCCATCATTATTTCCCTCTCAGTCTTTTTTTTTATACTGTATACACTCTTATCTTATGTATATGCTTCTTCCACAAATTCTCATTCATTCCCTCGCCTTTCCCCGACAGGGCTTCTTTCATTCATGGTTCTTATTCCATCGGCAATAAACATCCCCCTCCGTCCCTAATCTATGTCTCACCTCCATCCTCTTCTCAAGTTTGTTTGATGCATTTCTTGAATTCCTAGTCTCTATTAATATATAAAGTCATCTGTGATTGGCTGTTGTGTCACACATTGACTGTTTTACTTTTCTGTTTAAGTGTCTGTGTATATGGGGGATATGCAACAGAAAGGCATTGCCACAGTTCCCAAGAGAGCATTGAACATCATGACCTGTGAAGTGAATAGATTATTACAACTTACCCAGAATGCAATAATTCCAGTGTCCTATGTAGTGCCAAGAAAGGTGAGGACAATCAAATAACTGTCAAACTCAAGACACAAACACAAAACTGTAAATGTCACCATGGCAACTAGTTAGTATTCAAAGAATACAAAAGATAAGATTCATATCATATTTTGTAAAATTGTGAAATGTCACTAATAGAAATGCTGAATACCCAGGATGGTCATCTGTTTGATTGTAGAATTTTTTTTAGTAAAATTACTTGTTTCCAAATTTCTTATAATGTAATTTTGAATGGTGATAATGAAAATATTGTTTTCTATTTTGAATTCATCAGACACATCGTGATTTTCATGCAGATCTGTATCCTGATACTTTATGTGGAGATCCTGCCATGACAGCTGATAACTGGTTGGCTGGAGATAATCATCAGGTATGAATCAAATGTACCATGTACTGCCAATAACAATCTTGTCTGGCGTGGACTTTAAGTTTTGATTCCTACACTTTAGATTGACAGCAATATAGCTTACATGACATGGGCTTGCAGTAAATTACCTTTGACTGTTGATTAGCTATAATGCATCAAACGTTTCTCAGTCAGCTTATTTGGGTTATACAGTCTTTGCTGGTGATATTTGAGTCATCTTTGACTTCTTAAAAGGTGGTTGTATTCCCAAGAAATGCTGGCAAACGGAAGAAAACAATCCCTGTAACAGTAAACACTACCATGCCTGTGTTTAAGTCACCTTCCAGACATAATTAGTATTTTAGTTCAGATGTGCATAGTTGAGTTGCACGATGGCATTGGATTATCAGTAACACACACCAACCCACATGGCCAATGAAGACCATTGTTAGTACGACTTTAAACCATTCCCATCTCTATTATTACTATTACTGCAAATGCGCAGGCAGGAATTGTTTCTTATATGGGAAACAAAAATGCAAGCAGCAAACATTAGTTTCCAACTACATGTATATTAGAAAATACAAAGGAATAACAAGCGAACCCATCAAGTTTTCTGCTGGGACATAAAGTTGTTAACATCATCATGCGGATGTCAACCTACTTTTTTAAGCAGTAGGATATAGCTGAGGAGTGTCAGTAAACTGATAACTAATTAAGGAAACCTATATAGCTACTCAGTAAACACTCTGACAATGATAATGCTGATACCATGCTTCTGACATGCTTAGTGTTCATGGAAGTTTTGGTTGATTTTGTATTATTAATTTTGCACAAGAAGAGGTCTCCTTTGCATATACTAGACAAATACATTTAACTAGTTCTTCGCTAAATTGTGTTTAATTATTGTTTTCATATTCAGGTATCCAAGGTTAGCTTGCAGCCTACTAGTAATTCTAAAGTTCTTCCTCCAAAGAGAAACAGAGCTGTGAATGTAGATATTGTTGCTAGGAAACTGGAAAAGACGAGTATCTCTGAAGAAAAGAATACAACAATTGAAAATAAGCCAAGTGTTAGCAGAAAGGTAACTAATGCTCTGGGAAGTCATTGCAATGCTACTTACAAGATGTTGTCTGATTGGCTATCCAGCCCTAACAACTGACATTCAGATCAATCATAGAGCAGTTTGTTTGTTGCTAGACGCACCAAATTCTGCCTTGTATATATGCTTTGACTAAGAAAGAAGGAAATTATTTTATTTTCTGTTCTTTTTCAAATATGCGTATTTACATTTCTAGTTGAAATAGCGATTCTCACTATAACAAATTGAGCAATTTACAAAAGTTGTTGCTTTAGCAACCTAATTTGCCAAATCCATAACATTTATTTTTTGTTTCAGCCAAATCTTAAGCCAAAACCTAGTCCAAACCAAATTACGCCGATAGAAAATGAGGCTGAACAAGAGGCTGCAAATAACACTTATGGGGCTGCAATTTGCCATGAATCAGAGGCTGTAAATACTGAAATAGAAACAAAGACTACTGCTGCTGCCATAGAAACTGAGGCTGAAATGAGAAATGAGGAACCTTCTTCATTGGAAATTACCCAGAATGCAATTGACCCAGTAGAACGTTTAGAAAATGTTACATCCATTCCAGCAGAGGAGGAGATGGCCGAGGAGGCTTCAAATAAAGAAGAGAGCATTCCACATGGTTCAGCAGTGGCTAACATGTTTGCAGGGGTCACTTCTTCCAAGTTTCGTCACATTCAGGGGGTCACACAGCACAGAAATACACACATTTACAATATCAGAAATTTGAGCACAAGCACATTTGGTGAGTGTGATGGTTTCCATGCCAACAAAGATTTTGCTGCCATTCCAATTGCTGGCCCAGGTGGATTGATCGCTATATTGAATGTGAGTAATGTCTATGAATAATTTATGTGAACTTTGATTAATAACTGTTTTTGGTATTAAAAAAGTTATTTTTTTGTTTAGAACATCGCATAATTGTAATAGTGCCACAAGATTATCAAGCTTTCCACATGACTGTAGAAGAATTGGCTTACTGTTCACATGACTAGAAGTGTGTGGTTTACTTTCCCTATGACAAGAATTGTTGGTTTACTTTCCCTATGAATACAAGTGTGTGGTTCACTTTTCATGTGGATGGAAGTGTGTGGTTTACTTCCCATGTGACTAAAAATGTATGGTTTATTTCTCACATGGCTAGAAGTGTATGGTTTACTTTCCGTATCACTAGAAGTGTATGGTTTACTTTCCGTATCACTAGAAGTGTATGGTTTACTTTCAGTATCACTAGAAGTGTATGGTTTACTTTCCGTATCACTAGAAGTGTATGGTTTACTTTCAGTATCACTAGAAGTGTATGGTTTACTTTCAGTATCACTAGAAGTGTGTGATTTACTTCCCACATGACTAGAAGTGTGTGGTTTACTCCCCATATGACAAATGTTGGTTTACTTTCCATATGACGAGTGTGTGGTTCACTTTCCATATGGATAGAAGTGTGTGGTTTACCTCCCACATGAGTGGGAGTGTGTAGTTTACTTTCCAATGACAACAAGTGTGTGGTTTACCTTCCACATGAATGGTTGTATGTTGTTTGCAAGAATAGGAACACAATTGTAGAGTTTGTGATTACAAGTATGCACTCGATCTCCATGTGAATACAAGTGTGTATTTTTAGTTCTGCCGTTGACTTAGTGTACAAAGTGGAGCTGTTCATATTATCGATTGTCTGTCTGTGTCAACTTTACTTTTTGACTTCTTCTTGTAAAGTTTGCTTACTTTGATACTTGGTATAAATCTTCAATTCTTTAATTTAGATGAATATTTTTGGTAAAAAGTAATTTTCTTGACTTTTTGTTAAAATCAGCAAGTCTAATTGCTTAGATATTATACATATATGTACTACAGGTAGACCTCTCTATGATTTGTTATTTTTCTTAAAATACCTTCAAATCTCTAATTTTGATGAATATTTTTGCTATTTTCAACTCAATTTTAAATCTCAATTGCTTTGATATTTTACATGTTGACACCTTGAGTAAACTTTAGTCAGATTTTTTATATAGTACCTTAAATTTTTGAATATTACATTATATGATCACAGGTAGATAAGCCTGGTAAACTTCCGGATACTGGTGTATATGTGATCCAGAATGGCAACACAGTCATGGACTTTAAGTGGGATCCATTTGATACTAGAAGAATGGCAGTCGCCTGTGACGATGCTGTTATAAGAATATGGATGATCCCAGAGGGAGGACTGACAGAGACTCTCACACAACCAGAATTTATACTCAAGGGTAAGTTTTCAGGGAAAGGGGCTCTTATCAGTAATTTACATAGGGAGGGCTGACAGAGACAGTAATAGACCTAGAATTTTTTCTCAAGGGTAAGTTTTCAGGGAAAGGGGCTCTCATCAGTAAGAACAAATTCCAGAGGGAGGGCTGACAGAGATTGTAATAGAACTAGAATTTATTCTCAAGGGTGAGTTGTTAAGGACTGGGGATCTTATCAGTAAGAAAATTCCCAGAGGGAGGACTGACAGACTCTCACATAACCAGAATTTATACTCAAGGGTAAGTTTTCAGGGAAAGGGGCTCTCATCAGTAAGAACAAATTCCAGAGGGAGGGCTGACAGAGACTGTAATAGAACTAGAATTTATTCTCAAGGGCGAGTTGTTAAGGACTGGGGATCTTATCAGTAAGAACATTCCCAGAGGGAGGACTAACAGACTCTCACACAACAAGAATTTATACTCAAGGGTAAGTTTTCAGGGAAAGGGGTTTTCACCAGTAAGAATATTGCCAGACGGAAGATTGACTGTTACAGAACCAGAATATGCTTTCAAGGTCAAATGTATCAGAGTTAGGGAATAGTACTTCCAGCGGGAAGTCTAATAATGCTGTAATATAACCAGGATGCACTGTTATATTGGGCACAAACAAGATTCATACATTTAACTTGCAACTTGCAAAAAACAAACAGGGACTATGTCATTGACAAAGACTTGTTATTCACTAAGCTAAATTGTATTCTTTTTATGTGACAGGACATGAAGAGAAAATATATTTTCTTTTATTCCATCCACTTGTCAGTGATTTACTGCTGTCTGCATCCTATGACATGTCGGTTAGGATCTGGGATTTGGATTTCTATGAAGAAAAAATAACATTACATGGACATCAAGACCAAGTAAGCATGCAGATTTTTTCATTCAATAAGTTTTAATAATTTTTTCTCTGTCATTATCAATTTTTGTTTCAAAACTTAATCCTGTCTATTTCAACCAAAAAAGTTGAATACATTGTGATGCAGTGGATAACAAATCCCTAATTAATATCATATTTTGTTTTCATTGGATGAAAATTATTATGGATATGAGAAATAATTATGGAAATTTGTTAAATACTTGCACCTAAATTTTGGTTGGCCATCATGGCTGACCAAAATGTCAAAGGTCATACTAAATTTAACTGAGACTATATGAATGAACGAGAAGCTTCAATAATGAAGAACTAATTGAAAAAAGTAATGGTCATGTCATTTTCTAATCTAATCTAATCTAATCTAATCTAATCTAATCTAATCTAATCTAATCTAATCTAATCTAATCTAATCTAATCTAATCCACTCTATATAATCTAATCTAATCTAATCTTGATTAAATCCACATAAGTGTGTTAACATTTTTCTAATTCTGAGAATTAAATTTTTTTTGTAGATATTTGGAGCATCATGGAGTCCAGATGGTGTGTATGTGGCTACTGTAAGTAAAGATAAGATGATCCGGATCTATGAGCCCAGGAAGGCTGTTCTACCAATCAGGGAAGGACCTGGACTAGAAGGAAGTCGAGGAGCTAGAATTGTTTATGCGTGTAATGGACAATATCTTATAGTACTTGGTTTTGATAAGTAAGTTTGGATCTTTTAAAAAAGGACATCACTTATTCTTCTCCTGTATGTTTCTGATATCTGGACTCCTATGAAATGTTTACTGTTGTCAAATTTCGTGATTTTCCCTAACTGACAAAAATATATCTCTCACAAAATTGAACTGACATGCACCAGACCAAGACACCAGGCTGAGGCACCAGACCAAGACACCAGATTTTCATTAAGTTTTCTATACAATATACTAGTATATGTAAGACTGACAGAGGCTAATGATACTTGTTACAATAGATACAACCTCCGATTATTCATTTTGATCATTCTACATCATTTCTGCTATAGCATTGTCATGGCAATTATTGTTCTACTCTTCTATTTCTTTTCAGACAAAGCAGCAGAAAGATTAGTGTGCACAATGTCGATGATTTGACTTGCACCAGTTGCCATGGTAACATTGGACGTCTCCCCAGCAACACTGATACCATACTATGATGATGATACAAGTGTTCTTTTTTGTACTGGAAAGGCAAGTACAGTATTTACTCTATTAGGAGCACATCCCTGATTGAAGGGTATATAAACCCAAAAATGCATTATTCGTATACTGAATCATTAATGCTATGATAATAGAGAAAAAACGGTATCTCATAATATGGTTTTAGTTCCATCAAAACATGACAAAGACTTGTGGTTGTTTTGTGAACAACTATTGCATTGAAAGTTGACAAACTAAAATGGTCTTGTTAAATGAAAATTGGATTGATCAATTTTGCTGATTATTATGTTTTCTTTCCTTACTTTTTATTAGTAACCTAATGCTTTACAATATTTTATTGATCTTGTTCAGGGTGATAGGATAGTGCAAGCATATGAAGTCATATCACATGCACCATATTTGGTGGAGTTGTCAGAGTTCAGATGTACAGACCCACACCAGGTGATAATTTCACATAGATCTATTTAATTTGTCAGTGTATAGTGGTAGCCATTGTTTTCCATCATGTAAATGTGTCTGTCTGTTTGTTTGTCTGTCTGTCGATTTAATCTATTTAATTTTTCTTTCTTTATTCATTCATTCATTCGTTCATGAATTCATTCATTCACTCACTCACTCACTCACTCACACTCACTCACTCACTCACTCACTCACCCATACTTACATTGCTATATGTCCTGAGGACTTCATTGGATTAATTTTTTAATATAGTTGAATTAACTATTAAGGTCAGTATTTGGGAAAGGTATGGTACAATTATATTAATATTAATATACCTTCCCCCGATACTAAACCTAAGCTACGCAAAACATATTAATAATAGAATGAACTATATATAATATAAATTATGTTTTCCGAGGACGATGAAAAAGGTCCTCGGAAGGTGTGTTTGTCTTCGGAAGTTGGTATATATGTGTATTTTGGTCCTCAGAACATGTAGCAATGCAAGTACACTCATTCATTCATTCCAATTATTTATTCATTTGATTATTTATTTTGCAGGCAATGTCTTTCTTACCTAAGATAACATGTGATGTAAAAAAAGTGGAAGTTGCAAGGGCTCTAAGATTGTCCAAAACAACAATAGAACCTATAGTGTTTACAGTACCAAGAGTTAAAGTAAGTTGCAGCTAGTGGTAGTATTGTTAACACAGTCTGTCTGTCCACCCGTCTGTCTGTGTGGCAAATTTGTAAATGTGCTATCTCAAAATTCAGTGATCAGAATCAGATGAAATAGCAGTCATGTACTATGGGGCAATTATCTTATTGGGTTTGGGTATGGATGAGTTTAGTTGGTGGGTAAGAGTTAAAATAGGGTCAGGAGTGGCAACAGGTGAGAAATGGAGGTATGATAATGGTGAGAGTAGGATGGGTCAGTGTGCAAATAAGGATGGGATAATTCGAGAAATGAGGATTGGATAAGGGATAAAGTAGGGTTGGGTCAGTGTGCAAATAGGGATGGGATAATGTGAGAAATGAGGATGGGATAAGGAATAAAGTAGGGATGGGTCAGTGTGCAAATAAGGATGGGATAATTTGAGAAATGACGATGGGATAAAGAATAAAGTAGGGATGAGTCAGTGTGCAAATAGGGATGGGATAATTTGAGAAATGAGGATGGGATAAGGAATAAAGTAGGGATGGGTCAGTGTGCAAATAGGGATGAGATAATTTGAGAAATGAGGATGGGATAAGGAATAAAGTAGGGATGGGTCAGTGTGCAAATGGGGATGAGATAATTTGAGAAATGAGGATGGGATAAGGAATAAAGTAGGGA